ATCATCATCCGCAACAGCACCAACGGCGTAATCATTGTAGTCATCAGCATCGCATCATCATCATCATCGTAGTCATCAGCATCATCGGCGTAATCATTGCCAGCATCATCAGCATCAGCATCATCCTCATCATCTTCAGCATCATCGATATGGCCATTATCATCATCAACAGCATGATCAGCATCGTCATCATCATCTGCAGCATCATCGTCACCACACCCATCAGAACCACCATCATCATCATCAGCATCATCATCATCATCAGCAGCATCATCATCATCAGTACCATCCTCATCATCATCAGCAGCAGCATCAAAAGCCATCATAATCATCAGCATCAGCTTCCGCATCAACAGTAGCATCGTCATCCACATCATCAGCATCATCAGCAGCAGCACCAGCATCATCATCATGAGCAGCATCACAATACCAGCATCATCATCAACATCAGCAGCATCGTCAGCATCGTCATAAGCATCGTCATTGTCAGCATCATCCTCGTCCTCCTCAACATCATCATCAGCATCATGATCTTGATCATCATCAGCATCGTCGTCATTGCCATCATTGTCATCATTATCATCATCAGCACGATCATCATCATCAGCAGCAGCATCATCAGCAGCAGCAGCCTTATCATCATCAGCAGCACCACCAGCATCATCATCATCACCATCATCATCATCAACAATATCATCACCATCATCACAACCACCATCACCATCACCATCACCACCATCATCAAGGCCAGTATCAGTATCACCACCACCCTCATCATCAGCAGAAACATCATAATTCGCAGCATCATCAGCATCATCATCACCGTCGTCGTCAGTATCAGCAACGTCGTCATCATCATCGTCGTCGTCGTCACCATCAGCATACTCGTCAGCACCATCATCATCATCATCATCAACATCATAATCATCAGAATTCCCATGATCATCATTGTCTACCATGATGCTGGACCCCCGCCTGTGGATGCACCGATCCTCGCGACCGTTTGTGGAGTCCTCCTTCAGGCGGATCTTGAACACCTCCGCCGCGGACGGCGCGGGCGCGGCAGCGGTCCATGGCTCTGTGACAGTCGTCGTCGTCGTCGTCGTCGCCGCCGTCGTTGCCCGAGGAGGACGAGGAGGAGGAGGAAGAGGAGGAGGAGGAAGAGGAAGAGGAGGACAGGGAGGGGGACTTCCCTGGACTTCGCTGAGATCCACGGGGTGGCAGCGTTCACACGGCGGCCGTCCCAACACTCCTGGGCCCCTCCAGGGTGGCGGCCGCCGCCCCCACTGCGCGCCAGCGGTGAGTGCTGGGCCGAGGCACCGCCGCAAGGCGGGGGGGGGTTCAAGGGGAGCCCCGAACCTAGCGAACCACGAGGAGGAAGAGCAGCGCCACCGCCGCGAGCACGAGAAGCCCGCCGTGCGCCGCCAGCACTCCCACAGGGGACCTAACGGTCCAGCTGCTCCTGCAAACACGCCCTGTGAACGGCGCCCTGGCAGCCTTCGCAACGGACCATCTTGTCGCGGTGCTGGATGCTGTCGTGGCACAGCTCGCACGCGACACCGCCCCTCGGTGCGCTCCGAAGGCGGAGGTCCGAGGACAAACAGACAGGGCACCGTCCAGCGTGCAGCGAGTCGAGGATGTCCTTCGCACGCCTCCCCGACTCGATCACGAGATTGGCCAGGCGCCGCTGCACCACGGAGAGCGATTCAAGGTCCTCCGTGTCCTCGGGGTACCAGACCTCATCGATGGTCTTATCCACCCCTGAACTCAAGTCGGGGTCGAACTTTGCAGTAGAAGCGGCAACATCAGCGTCAGACCCAACTGCTCTGGAATGGCAAAAATAAAATCAGCACCCGACTTGGCCATCTCCTGACCCGTTGGTGCTGGAAAAACCTGCTCCTGAGGTAACGCCTTGGGCTCCGGTACGGGCTCCTCCCTCAAATTCTCGGAGCCATCGGCCACGACCTGCTCCTGTGGCAACGGCTCGAACACTTCCCAGAGCCCCGCGGCGAGATCCGAAGGGACGATCACAGTGTCGTCCAGGAGCCCAGCCGACTGTCCCAAGGGGGCCTGAACGGTAAAATCGCCGTCGTTAACGTCGCACTCGAAGTACGTGCAGGGCACAAAAGGCTCGGCAGCGGCGGATGGGACCGACTCCTTGACCTCGGGCGTCTCCATCTCCTGCGTGATCCGAACCTCGAGCCGTGGCCCGTGCTGGGCCTTGCGCAATGCGGCGGCACCCGCAATGGAGACGTCAATGCCGCTGGCATCGGCGTGCATGGAGACATTCCGCCGCAACACCTCCAGCCATGTGGGCGCGCGGCCCTCCAGCTTGGCCTGCAGCAAGGGCAAAACCGCCCGCAGGCGCTGGGCCACCTCACTGCACCCCGCGACTGCGTCAAGCGCCTCCTCCGCCACGGACACAAGCCCGCGGAGGCGCCGTACCTCCTGCGAGAGCTTCCGGACCGCTCGGTCCGCAGAACGCCGCGCCCACTCTCTTGCTGCCCTGCGCTCCTCTGCAGAACGCCGTTTTGGCGCGCACTCCGCGCCATCCCGTGCCATGTCCCGTGAGCCAAAAGCCCTGCACCCCCCCGTCCCTCACGCCCGCCGCGTTGCCCCGCAGGATTGGGGTCGCAGGGTGCGCCGAGGGACAGGGTCCAGGAGCAGGGGGCCTACGGAAAAGCCTGAGCCAAATGGCTACGGAGGACAGGGAGGGGGAGGAGGAGGAGGAGGAGGAGGAGGAGGAGGAGGAGGAGGAGACGACGACGACGACGACGAGGAGGAGGAGGAAGAGGAAGAGGAGGAGGGGGAGGAGGATGGCGGAGGGTGCGGAGGAGGAGGAGGAGAAAGGAGGGGGTGGAGGAGGGGAAGGAGAGGGAGGAGGGGGAGAAGGAGGAGGAGGTGGAGGAGGAGAAGGAGAAAGGGGAGGGGGAGGAGGAGGAAGAGGTACGCGACGCCAGAATGAGGAAAGGAGGCAGGTCCATGAAGTCACCTCGCCTCGCCGGCCTGTACAGAGGCTTGCTGGCTGGCCCTCTCAGCGGCCAGCCAGAGCGCCTCGCGGCCGAGCCCCTCGGCTTGGCTGCGCGTGCGAAAGCCGAACGCTGTGAGGCCGTCGTGCAGTACCACTCTTGGGCACGGCGCACCCCGACGAACTGGGGGTCCCTGCGGCGGCACGGCGTTGAGGTTAGCGGGGATCCCTGGATGGACCTCTCCAGCCCCTTCCAAGCCGAAATGGGCTGGCCCAGGACGCCCGCACAGCTTCCGACGGGCTGCATGCCTCACCGATGGTCGCGTTCCGAGCCCGACGGGGATGCACCCCACGGCTGACGCGGTTATGTAAACTCTTCACCCGCGGCGCGGGCTGACCAACACTGGTCAGACAGGGCGCCCAGAGTCCATGGCCCTGGCCAGGGCAAGTGGCATGAACCCAACAAGTCGTGCAGACTCTAAAATTGAGGAGGACGCGCCCTGGGGGCCACCCTCTGGGCAGCGCCACTCGTGGATCTGGGCAGCAAGCAGGCGGTGCCCGCGTACCACCCACCCAGGGCCCTACTGAAGGCGGAGCGTCCGCGCGCACCTCGGGCTCCGAGCTCAGTCGAGCGGCCGGGTCTGCGTTCGCCCGTGGGGCCGAACCCGCGCGCGCAGGCTCGGTGTGCGATTCTCCCCGCGTTCCCCCAGCCTCACTCTCGGACCAAGAGGGAGGTAACCGAAGAAGAAGGCGCGGTCGTTTTCAGAGAACCAGCCTTCGAAAGCACCAGCCTTCGCCAGAGCGTCGGCCGCGTGATTCCCGTCGCGCTTCCGAGCCGTGATTCATCCCTCCACGACATCTTTCCACGTCGCGTGCGCAAGAACAGAAGAAAAAGAACGAGGAGGGGAACTTGGAGGAGGGGGGATATGGGGCACAGGGGGCAGCACTGGCAGCAGCATCAGGGCAGAAACGAGCGGGAGCAGGGACACCAGGATCAGCATCATCTTCTGTCGTTATCATCATCAGCATCATCTGCATCAGCATCATCGTCCTCAGATACAGCAGCACCATCGACATCATCAGTGCCGTCATCATCAGCAGCAGCATCATCACCATCAGCATCATAATCAGTATCATCATCATCATCATCATCATCATCATCATCATCATCATCATCATCATCATCATCATGTTCATCATCATCATCATCATCATCATCATCAGCATCATCATCGTCATCATCATCATCATCATCATCATCATCATCATCATCGCCGTCAGCATCATCATCGCCATCATCAATGTCATCATCAGCAGCATCACCATCATCATCAGCATCATCGTCATCGTCATTATCATCACCACCTCCACCATCATCATCATCGTCATCATCACCGTCAGCATCATCATCGCCATCATCAACATCATCAGCATCATCATCGTCATCATCATCACCACCTCCACCATCATCATCGTCATCATCACCGTCAGCATCATCATCACCATCATCAGCATCATCATCAGCAGCATCACCATCATCATCAACCCATCATCAGCATCATCATCTCCGTCCTACTTCGAATAAAATTCAACGTCACCGTCCTCCGCATCGTCTTCCTCATCGTCATCATTGACCGTTATCGTCATCACAACCGCCAGCAACAATAACAACATACTCGTCTTCATCATCTCATCGTCATCGTAATCGTCAGCATCACCTTCCTCATCCAACCTCCCTCCTCCTCATCATTCCTAATCCCCACCCGCATCCTCCTGGTTTCCCCTACGTATGCGCTGTTGCCCTGGCCTTGGCCGGCAGCATACCGCTGTCCAGGTAAATCTTTCTGAAGCGGTGGAGGAAGTAGGCGAACGGCTTGCAGCCCTGACCCGCGCGGAGGTGAATATCCTCCCGCCTCCTCTCTCCATCATCAGCATCATCAGCATCATCATTATCATCATCATCATCATGATCGTCAACATCGTCATCATCAGCAGCAGCATCATCATCAACATCAGAATCATCATCATCATCATCATCATCATCATCATCATCATCATCATCATCAGTATCATCATCATCATCATCATCATCATCATCATCATCATCATCATCATCATCATCCATCATCATCATCATCATCATCAGCATCATCATCATCATCGTCATCGTCATCGTCATCGTCATCATCATCATCATCATCATCATCATCATCAGCATCATCATCGTCATCGTCATCGTCATCATCATCCTCATCCTCCTCCTCGTCCTTTCCTCCACCTCCTCCTCGTCCTTTTTCTCCTCCTCCTCGTCCTCCTCCTCCTCTTATTGGTCTTCCTCCTCCTCCTCCTTCTCCCCGTGATGCTGGAGCAGCGGGGGAGAAGGCCGGCAGGAGGCTTGCAGCCCTGATCCGCGCCGACGGCCTCGGGAAGCCCAAGACCCAGACGTCGGAGACTCGCATGCGAGGCGAGAGCGGGGGGGGGCAGCCCCCTAATTCCTGACTCTCAACGGTCGAAGAACGGTATAAAAGAAACTTTTTCGCCGTCGGGGACACCTGCCCCAGGGCGGCTGGAAAGTTTATACCCTTACGGTGGCACCGTAGGGGTATAAACTTTCCAGCCGCCCAGGAGCAGGTGTCCCCGACGGCGAAGAAGTTTATGTTATACCATTCTTCGCTCGCTGAGACTAAAGCGGGACGATGATTTTGTTCCCTTCGCCTCCATCCTCGACATGTTGCGCGCAAACCGCATGCCCCAGCAGCAGCTGCGCTCGCCTGTGTCTTTCTCTCTAGACAACTTGTCTGTCAAAATCCGATATCATGATTCTACGAAACTGGGCACGGGGCAACCGTGAGCTGTACTCGGTCGGGCGCCGATTGTCTCCCGCTGCCTCCCGTGATCTCCAGCTGTCTCCTTTTGTCCCCCGTTGCCTCCCGTTGCCTCCCGATCTCCCCGCTTGTCTCACGTTGTCTCCCATTGGCTCCCATTGTCTCCCGTTGTCTCCCGTTGTCTCCCACGGTCTCCTGTTGTTTTTTGGTGTTTCCCGTTGCCTCGAACTGTCTCCCGTTGTCCCCCGTTGCTCTCCGTTGTCCCTCTGCGTCACTCTAGATAGAAGTCTCCGCCTACGTCCTTCTGTCCGCCACCGTGTAAAGCTGTTGAGGGTCTTCTGCCGCAAAGGGCTCAAGTTGGTGCTCGGGCCACCTCGCCAATCGGTGTTTAAACGATGCTTTGCCGCACTGACGCCCCAGCTGAGCTGCTTAAGCCTAACGTCAAAAGGAGGGAGGGAAGATTCAAAGCTTCACACATCAAAAAGGGAGTGCTCAGCTGGAGACTGCTGGTTTCCATCCCTTGTGTGTGCCTAGTTTCGCGTCTGGCTCGCGGACTACATTCGAGAATGCAACGCACCGTGGCGCAACACGTACGAATGACACTATTTTCGCTCGTGCCCGTCAAACGGCGGCAAAGCAGTCACGACTCCGGGGAAATGTTGCGGGGCGAGGGGAATGCAGGAATAAGCGGAGCAGGGCTCGGAACCTGGAGAGTAGGTATTGGTAACGTCTACAACAGGGCGTGGGCGTGTTCGGGCTCATTCGAGTGATTATCTTTCTGTTGACTGCGCGAACTATGTACAGTGTCAGCGTGCAACATACGAAGAGTCGTGGGCAGTTAGACTCAATAAGATTGCTACATATTCCAGAAAGGGCATTTCACAGATTCGTGCACGTAATCAAAACATTGCAACAAAACATACAGCCTTGGTACGTGTTTGACGAGTCGGCTAGGACAAACTGTGCCGGCGCGCCATGCAATTATTGATCCCTCTCCCCCTCCTCCTCCTCCTCCTCCTCCTCCTCCTCCTCCTCCTCCTCCTCCTCCTCCTCCTCCTCCTCTTCCTCCTCCTCCTCCCTCATCGTCGTCGGTCCCCGTACGATCGGCATTCACAGGCAGCGGGCGGTGCCGACCCTTCGGGTGGTCCCAGCTTCCCGCCCACAATTGAAGTCATAACATTCCACCTCACCCCTCGAGGAAGGGTTGGCAGGGTGCCGTAGGAAGCGGGGGGGGAAGCGAGGTACTATCCTTCATCCCTCTGTTTACATGTCTCCCCTCGTGGCTGACATGCGAATAGACGTACTCGACTTCAGACGCCAAAGGTTCCACCACCAACACCTCCTTCCTCTTCCTCATCCTGCATCACCTTCTCATGAGCCTGCCTCCTCCTCCTCGACTTCCTCCTCCTCCTCGACTTCCTCCCGCCCCATCTCCTCCCTTCGTCCTCACTCCCCACCCCCTCCTCCTCCTTTCGCTCCTCCTACATTCGCCTTCTCGTTATCATCATCCTCCTCGCTCTCCTTCTCCTGCTCTTCCTCATCATCCTCATCATCCTCGGCATGATCATATGTTCTATCATCGCTGTTCCCCTCACCCTCATCACCAGCATCATCAGCACCATAAGCATCATAAGCACGATCGGCATCATCGGCAGTAGCAGCGACACCATGATCATCTTCATCTCATCACCATCAGCATCCTCAACATCATCGTCATCATCACATCATTAGCAGCATCATCATCTGCACCATCAGCATCGTCAACATCATCAGCAGCAGCATCATCGTCATCGACATCGTAGTCGTCGCCTTTGTCGTGGTCAGCAGCAGCATCATCGTCAACGTTTTCATCATCACCGTCATCATCGCCCTTATCGTCATCAGCATAATCATCATTACCATCATCATCATAATCAGTATCGTCCTCATCAACATCAACATCATCGTCATCATCAGCATCGTCATCCTCATCATCGTCATACCCTTTTCAGCATCATCAGAATCGTCATCAGCATCATCAGCATCATCATTGGCATCATCATCAGTCGCATCGTCATCCTCATCAGCCTCATCATCACCGCTATCGACGTCGTATCGGCATCAGTATCGTCATCGCCATCAACATCAACGAGCATCGCCTTCATCGCATCATCAGCAGCATCATCATCCTCAACATCCTCATTAACATCAGCACCCCAGCCATCAACATCATCATCATTACCGTCAACAACATCAACAGCAGCATCATCAACACCATCATAATCATCAGCAGAATCAGCATCATCATCATCATCATCATCATCATCATCATCATCATCATCAGTAACAACACCATTAACATACTCGTCGTCATCGTGTTCGCCTTCGTCGTCGGCAGCAGCCTCATCATCGCCAGCATCATCCGCCTCATCATCAACATCATCATCAGCATCATCATAGCAAACATCATCAACATCGTCAGCATCATCATCAGCACCCTGACCATCGTCATCAGCATCATCGACATATTCATCATCACCATCATCACCACCAGCATCATCACCATCGTCCCCAGATGCATCTTCAACAGCAGCATCCGCACACCATCCTCATCATTCTCATTGTCGTCGGTGTCGTCATTGCAATCCCCATCAGTATGGTCATCATCACCACCATGAAACATTGTCATCAACCGCGTCAGCAGCAGCAGCAGTATCAGCATCATCATCAGCAGCATCAGCATCATCACAATCATCATCAGCAGCAATATCAGCATCAGCGTCATCGTCATCATCAGAAATTCGATGATTAGCAGTAGCAGTATCATCGCCCCATCATCAGCATCCGCATCAGCATCATCATCAGCAGCATCATCATCGTCACTATCATAATCGTCGCCATCAGCATCCATCATTATCAGGAGCACCATATCAGTAGCAACAGTTTGATCGTCATCCTAATCATCATCATCATCATCATCATCATCATCATCATCATCATCATCATCATCATCATCATCATCATCGTCATCGTCATCGTCATCGTCATCAGCATCATCATAATCATCAGTAGCGGCAGTACATCATCCTCATTATCATCATCGTCGTCGACGCCATCAGCATCAGCATCAACATCATCGTAATCATCAGCAGCAGCACCATCATCAGCATCATCACCACCACCAACAAAGTCATCATAATCGTAATCAGCATCAGCAGCACCAACATCAGCATCAACATCATCATCATCATCCTCGTCGTCGTCGACGTCGTCGCCAGCAGCAGCATCAGATTGTCATTAGTACTACCATCATCATCATCATCAGCAGCATCATCATCATAACCAGCATCATCATCATCATCATCATCATCATCAGCATCAGCATCATCATCATCATCATCATCATCATCATCATCATCATCATCATCATCATCATCATCATCATCATCATCACCATCCCCGCGTTCCTTATCCTGCTGCTGCTCCTCATCATTATCATCGGTATCCTCCTCATCCTCCATCTTATCATCACCATTGTCAACATCACCATCACCATCATCCCTCCTCCTCCTCCTCCTCCACATCCTCCTCCTCATCCTCCTCATCATCATAATCATCTTCCTCCTCCTCCTCCATCTGCTGCACACCGCATTGAGTGCGCGCGCGTGTGCGCGCACGCATGCCTGCGGACGCATGGGCGGGCGGACGGGCGGGCCCGCCCACTTGCACGCTTGGCCACTTTTTTACGCGTGTGTTTGCACGCGCGCGGCAGAGAATGGCTTGTGTCCACGCGCGCAAAAGAGGGACAACAAGAAACACACAAAATGCGAGAGCGAGAAAGCATCGGTGGCGAGCTCCTCCTCCTCCTCCTTCTCCTCCTCCACCTGCGTCCTTGGACTGCCTCTCCTCCCCCCGAAAAGCCCACGCACGAGCAGCACAGCAGGACAGAACGCCCCCCCGCGCTCCATTCTCTTCCTTCTCTCGAGGATAGTGGACGCGTTCGTTCTGCCGTTCATGACGCTGCCCTGGCGGAACTTCGGCATCCACTCGTCGAACCAGCCGGCCTCCCCTGGAGCAGAAGAAGGCAGGGAGGAACGATGCCCCTCTCGATGATCCTCAGAACGTATGTTAGCGCCAACGTGTGCTTCTCCACCGAAGCCCTGCAATACGACACAGGCGATGCAGAGAGGGCCGACATAGGCTCCATGCTACACTGTGGGACTGGACGGGGCAAGCACACATTGGGCTGATGCGCGTCCAAAAGATCATCGCCCCTCCCCTCGGCCAGCCCCCCCCCCCCCTTCCACAACCGGACGTGCCCGCAGGAACGGTTCAGCAGAGTGCGCGATCCTGCGCACTCTGCGCAGCCTTGAGGAGCCCAACCTTGCGGAACCCTGAGATCGGGCGGCCCGCTCTGCTCTGGACATGGGCCTCCGGCCTCCGGGGCTCCCCGCCCCCTGCGTGGGTGCTGCTCCCGCGCGCACCGCGGCCCGATCCCGCCCCCCCCCCAACCCCCCCCAAAAAAAGGAGGCTCTGGAGCGCCCTTCCAGGCGCCGCCCACGGCGGCCCCCCCTCCTCCTCCTCCTCCTCCTCCTCCTCCTCCTCCTCCTCCTCCTCCTCCTCCTCCGTAGCCATTTTGGCTCATGCCTTTCCGTAGGCCCCCTGCTCCTGGACCTTGTCCCTCGGCGTACCCTGCGACCCCAGGTTCACGGGGCAACGCGGCGGGCGTGAGGGACTTGGGGGAGCGGGGCTTTTGGCTCACGGGCATGATGGCTGTACGGGAGGAGGCTCTGGAGAGCCCCACAAAGCGCTCGGCTCAGCGCCGAGCTGCCCAGCGCGCCGCTGCCGCCGCGGCCGACTCCGCCATCCGTCGGTTGCAGGCGCAACTGGCCGCTGCGCTCGCGGACGCTGCTGCTTCCCGAGCGGCGCTGGAGCAGCTGGTCAGGCAGGAGGGGCAAGAGGGCGGCGAGCTGCTAGCGCGGCTCCGGCTGGTGGCGCCGGTGTTGGCCGCCGACATCGCCCAGGAGGACCCCCCGCCTCTGGCCGTAGCGCGGCGCAACCTCGCCTCGCACGAGTTTGGCATCCCCGCCTCGGATTTCGCGGAGGCGCAGGGGGCTGTGCTGAACCGCCTTCAGCGCCAGGGACGTGGTCGCCGTCCTCGCGGTCGTCGTCCCCGTGGCTCTGGTCGCGCTGGAGGTGGAGTGGAGGACGGTCTGCGCGCAGACGCTGCTTGCTTCCACCCGATCCTCGGCCTCACCGTGGATCCCGTCGGGCACAGGTGCACCTGTGGAGCAGTGGTTTTCTCCAGCTGCGCCGAGATTGTGTCAGATGTCAGGGTGTGCGGCAGCAGCAGCAGCACAGCGTGGCAGGACGTGGATATCCCAGACGTCCCCCTCGCTGCTGGTCATGTGGATTGCCCCGACCGTGTCTCGAGCGCAGCGTGGTGGGCAGCTCGCGACCGCATTGCTCGAGTCTGGCTTCGTGATGTTCCTTCTCGTGAGTTCGCCGCTCTTGAGAAGTCTCGCGATGTCGCAGGTCCTGTTCCTGAACGCAAGGCTGTTTGGGTTCCTCGAGATCTTCCTCATGACCCAGGAGAAGGGCGACTGTTTGGCTGACGGCGTCGCCTTTCTTATTTTTCATCCAGATACTTCCTTTTGAGTCGTCCTTTTATGGTATTTCAGGTTCTGGGCTCGCGGCACGGGGCGCCGTTACGACACTCATTTTTTCTCGCACGGAGCGTGGATTCCTGGTTCGACCTCTCCCGCCTCCTGTATGTGGAGCTGCTGGTATCTGTCGGGTACTGCACGGGGCTCTTCCTGGGTCGCGGCGTCTTTCTATTCGAATTGCATGGGCTGCCGCTGTCCGACGAGATTTGACGGTCATTCGGTCTGCGTGTCCAAAGCTTGTATTTCATTGAAGTTCTCGACTCCTTCGAAGTATCTTTCCTGATGGTGGGAGTTGTCGTATTCTTGGTTGGCTACTCCGTCGTCCTGGTGTTCGGCAAGTCCCTCATCACCTTCCTCATTCACGTGGGGTCCATGGCTGTGGATGTCAAACTCCTCCTCCTCCTCCTCCTCCTCCTCCTCCTCCTCCTCCTCCTCCTCCTCCTCCTCCTCCTCCTCCTCCTCCTCCTCCTCCTCCTCCTCCTCTCCTCCTCCTCCTCCTCCTCCTCCTCCTCCTCCTCCTCCTCCTCCTCCTCCTCCTCCTCCTCCTCCCCCTTCCAAACAGGGTGCGCGGACCCGCTGCACGCTTCGGGGCGCCCCTTCCTGGGGATCCCGGGCGCCCGCTGGCACGGATCGGGGCGCCCTCGGGATCCGGGAGCGCCCGGGTGCACGCGCGCGTGGGGGGGCCTCCGCTCGCCGCGCGGCCTCGGCTCGCCTTGGAGGAGCAGGAGAAGGGCATAGGCGTGAGCTCCCGAAGGTCCGCGCGGAGTGCTTGGCTCGGCGCTTGGGCCTCTCCCCCCCCCTGGGGCGCGGAGCGCGCGCCTCCGCCCACGCAGGGCCCACCCTCCTCGCCGCCGTCGCCGCCCTCTCGCCGCTCTCGTCCGAGGGAGAACGTGAAGGGGAAGCGGGCTCGGGGGGGGGGGGGAGGGGACGTCGACCTGGAATCGGTGATACGTCGCCAACAGATCGGCGACTCGGGCCCCCGGATGGCGAAGCCGCGCGCTTCTGGGCGGGATGGGGCCGTCGGGCCAAACATCTTTCGGCGATGCATGGGCGATCGGGGGTCGATGCGCACCCCCCTGCCCCCCTAACGTTGCCCCTGATCGTCCCCAGCCGCCCTCTCCGTCGCCCCTCGCCGCCGCCACCTCCACGGCGCGGCCGCCGACGACGCCGCCGCGCTTCTGTCCCGGCGCAGCCGCGCGGCGTGGATCCAGCCCCGCGGGCCCCGAATTACGAATTGCTCGCGCCTATGCTGCGCCAAGGGCTCCGGCGAGCGGGGCAGATGAGAAGGACGAGGAGGAGCAGGAGGAGAAGGAGGGGAAAGGAGGTGACAGGGGACAGGAGGAGGAGGAGGAGGAGGAGGAGGAGGAGGAGGAGGAGGAGGAGGACATAGAAGAGGAGGAGGAGGAGGAGGAGGAGGAGGACATAGGAGAGGAGGAGGAGGAGGAGGAGGAGGAGGAGGAGGAGGAGGAGGAGGAGGAGAGGAGGAGGAGGAGGAGGAGGAGGAGGAGGAGGGAGAGAGAGAGGAGGAGGAGGAGGAGGAGGAGGAGGAGGAGGAGGAGGAGGAGAAGAACACAGCGAGGAGGAGGAGGAGGAGGACATAGAGAGGAGGAGGAGGAGGTGGAGGAGGAGGAGGAGGAGGATGAGGGGGAGGGGGATGTGGAGGAGGAGGACATAGAGAGGAGGAGCAGGAGGAGGAGGAGGAGGAGGAGGTGGACGAGGAGGGCGAGGAGGAGGAGGAGAAAGAAGCAAAGTCGCGGAAGGCGTGCAGCCGTGCAGCCGGAGGCGACGGGTGCGCCAGCGGCAGTTGCAGAGAGAGGCCACACTCGGGCGGGCCACACACACACACAGACAGACAGACAGACAGACAGACAGACAGACAGACTGACATACATACATACAGACAGACAGACAGACTGACAGACAGACATGCATACATACATACACACATGCATGCATGCATACATGCATACATGCATGCATGCACGCGAACATACCTACACCAATACATGCATATATGCGTATATGCATACATACATACATGCATACATACATGCATACGTACCTATGTGTATATATGTATGCATGCATGCATGCATGCATACCTACATGCATGCATAATTGCATACATCCACGCGTACATGCATACATACATACATACATACATACATGCATGCATGCATGCATGCATGCATGCATACATACATACATACATACACACATACATACATACATGCATGCATGCATGCATGCATGCATGCATACATACATACAGACAGACACACAGACAGACAGACACACAGACAGACATATCTACATACATAGATACATGCGTAAAAATATGCATGCATGCATATATACATACACACATACCTGCATGCATGCATACATATAGGCATGCATACACATACATGTATGCATGCGTGCGTGTCTGCATGCATTCATGCGTGCATACAGAAATGTATATAAGTCTACACACATGCATACATACACACATGTATACAAATATACATGCATACATACATACATACATGCATGCATGCATGCATACATACATACATGCATGCATGCATACATACATCGAACATACATACATACATGCATCCATCCATCCATGCATGCATACATACATACATACATACAGATGCATACATGCGTGTATGCATGCATGCATCCGTCCATCCATACACATATTCATAAATACGTACATTCATCAATGCATGCATACATGCATACATGCATGCATACACAACACACACAGACATGCAAACATGCATACAAGCACACATACATGCACGCATGCATGCATGCATAATTACAGACAGACAGGCAGACATACAGACAGACATACATACATACATTCATGAAGGCATACATATACATATATGCATACGCACACACACACAAACAAACAAACAAACAAACAAACAAACAAACAAACCTATACACACACACACACACACACACACACACACACACATACATACACATACGTACACACATACATGCATGCATACATGTTTTGGTCGTCGCGGGCGGGAGCACCTCCTCACCGTCCAGCCCGCTCGCGGATGACTGCGCGAGAGCCCAGTAGCCGAAGAAAAGAAAGAGAAGGCCAGCGCCTCACGGGGCAGCGGCCAGGAGCGGCGCCTGGGTGCCAGGGCTGCAGGCAGCGGGCAAGCGCTGGGGCGGCGGCGGGCGGGGCGGGGCGGGGCGGGGCGGAGGCCGCAGCGCTGGCGCAGGGCAGCCGGGAGCGGGGCGGGGCGGGCAGCGGACAGCGGCGGGCCGCCAGTCCACGGCAGCGGCGAGGCGGGAAGCCGCCGAGCTGGCGACGAAGAGAACGGGTCTGAGCCGCGCCACAGTCACGCGGGCGAGGCGGCGGCCGAAGGCCGGGCCGCGGG